AGAGAGAGAGAGAGAGAGAGAGAGAGAGAGAGAGAGAGAGAGAGAGAGAGAGAGAGACGCTTACATGTATGCGGATGTCATCGGGGCACCGGAAGGCCCAGATGAAGATATAATGTCTGTGGTAATCTTTTTCATTGCCTTGATCGCCTTTTTTGACAGCTGTGTGCTCTCAAGAACGCAGCGCTCACAATTGCATTGGAAATCCCAAGTATCTTTCAAAGTTTTTCTTCGTTCACCCACTGGCGAGTTTGTGGGATTAACGTAACTGTGAACGATCTCCTCTCCTAGTTGTTCATCCATCCACAAGCCAGGAAAGAGAATATAGTCAATATACACTCCATGAGCAAAAACGTTTAACTAATTTAATCAAATGACAATTTAATATATAATACAAATCATATAATTATTACAATTTTATAAAAAAAAGAAGTCACATCTGCAGAAAAGAAGAGAAAATCATAACATATACTACACTGTACAGTGTACACCTAGATGGATAAATATTAAATACTAAATAGGCTTAAATAGCCGTATTAATAATTTATTAAATTTAATTATTTTATTTTAATACTGAAGTGTTTCAACTTTCAAGCATTCCAAACCCAAAAGGTTCCCCCTACTTTTTTTTTGAACTCTTTTGATTTTTTTTTTCCCAAAAAAATCCAGCAGCCGAACTGAAGAAGGTCGACATTCAGCTGTATAAAACTTAAACAAGAAGACGGAAAAAAAAGATGTAAAACAGTTTAAAAACTTAAAAAGACAAAAAAAAAAGACGTTGAGCCTACCACCTATTTGGGCACCAAATTTTGGAGAGTAAGTTAAAAAAAGGGATGTCTAGTAACAAGAAATAAAAAAACAAAACATACCTAACAGAACAGCCATTCCAATAAAAACAAGTGATATTAAAAATATAAAAAAAACTGATCTAATGAGACTAAATCTTAACTAATATAATAGTAATAATACTGTAATATTGAATTTAATTATTTAACATTAAGCCACCAGTACTTTTCCGAACCATGTTGTTCCCACGAGTTGCGGCCTTTGGTGCTTCCAGCTATTGGACCGAAATTGCGGTCCCATAGCTATGGTGCAGCACCAGGCCAAAAAATAAAACCTACCGGACTGAAATGGCGGGCAGTACCGGGCCACAAATCAAAGAAAGGAAATGTGCCCCATGCCAGTTGGTTTCTTATCGGCACGCAGCACACATCCACATCGGGGGGAAAAAAAAGACCCTCGGAAGTGCTGGTGTTTTAAAAAGAATTTTTGAAGGGTGGCAGGTGTGAAATATCAGTGTCCCACCATCAT